GCAAAACTGAACTCGGACCAGTTAATGAGGCACAGGAGAGCGTTGAAGGTGCCCAGAGGGATGCGCTGCTAGAGTCAGAGTGGCCCAGGCATTCCCTTCCCTGTCTCCTCCTTTAGGTGGCAACTGTGCAGGTGTGTGTGGTGGAATTAAGGGATCACGCTCACTCAAGCTGCAGCTTCTAGGAAGGGAGTTATTTCATATCTGGATGGTGTTTAAAAGCCAGTTTACACAAATGCAATTGTTCTTTTGAAACTTGCTGACCCTAAAAGGGTCATCTTGTAAGTCCTGCGGTTTCTTTCACCATTTTATGGGTCTGCTCTAGAAAGGAGAGGGTTTTTTTGCTTTTTTGTTTTGTTTTCTTTTTCAGGAGACTTTTTTTGGGGCCTTTATGAGACAGGGTCTCACTATACAGTTCAGGCTGGCCTTGGGCTCACTTTATAGCCCAGGCTGCTCTCGAACTTGTAATGATCCTCCTGCCTCAGCCTCCCCAGTGCTGAGATTACAGGCGTGTGCCACCGCGCCTGGCTAGGAGACGTTTTTTTTGAAGGGACTCCCAGCTCCAGCTGGCTTCACCCGCAGGGACAGGGCGACCTCACGTGGCGGCTTTCACAATTACCACTCTCACCGAGTTAGCGCATCCTGTACCAGGGCTGGTCCTCAGGACAAAGGGTCACAGACATAGCTGCCTCCTACATCACTACTGTTCTACACCACCACGATGTGAAAATAAAACTTTACTGCCAAGACTAGATTTTACTATATTGGACATTCCCGAGACTCTTACTTTATCAGTACATGATCATTTTGTTTCTTAATTTTATTTTTGTTCAGGCTGGCCTTGAACTTGCTGTGATCCTCCTACCTCAGCCTCCTCAGTGCTGGGATGGCAGGTGTGTGCCACCACGTCTGACTATCATTTTGGTTTGAGACTTTTCAAGGCCTCTCTGTGTGTTAGGAACGCTGCTACTTTGGGAGTACATACCATCAACCACCACCAAATCTTCCCACAGCGTTTCTCTACACGGAAAAGGGGAAAAGAGGAAAGGGAGGGAAAGGGGGGACGACAAATCCCATGAAGTGACTCTCAGAGAGCAGCAGATGGAGGAGGAGGAGAAGCCCCTCCTCCCACTCTGGGCCATGCCAGATGGCGCCTGGGCTCTCAGCACAGCCGGTGACTGGGCCACATCCAACACTTGCCAGCCAAGGCTGGGGCTGGGAGGCAGAGGTGAGGCCGGGAGGAGCTGGGGAGGAGCAGGGGGTTACATGGGGGGGAGCAGGCAGAGAGGGAGGGAGGAACAGGAGAGTCAGGGAGAGGCTGGAACAGCGGAACAGCGTGCTATGTACCACACCAGCCATGCCCACAGTCTGCCTGCAGTGACACTGTCGGGCCCCGATTGTCCGAGGTCACGGTCTGTCACACACGGCCAGCCAGCCAGAACTGAACCTCAAAAGACACATGCCAGCCAGCTGTGGTGGTGCACACCTGTCATCCCAGCACTTGGGAGGCTGAGGCAGGAAGGTCACTGAGAGTTCGAGACCAGCCTGAGCTACATACTGAGTTCAGCCTGAACTATATAGCAAGACCCTCTCTCCAAAACCCAAAACCAAAACACATCTTTCTAGTGGAGCATCTTCCCCACATGCATGCGGGCCCCCCACCTCGCCATCCTCTCCCCACACCAGGCCACCTCAACACCAGGCACACTTACCAAGGGGTACACCTGGGCACCCTCATCCTTCTGGAACAAAGTGTCCTCTGTGGACCTGGACACCAGGGACTCCCTGGAGTACCCTGCTCTGGTCTGGAATTGCGTGTCTTGGTCACCGTCCAAGTAGGATATGCCCTTTCTGGGCCTCGTGCTCCCCCTTTCTCCTCTGGCACCTCCCTGCTTCTGACCCTGGTCTCTTCCTTCCTGCTCCAGTGTGTCCTGCTGCTCGGGCTCCATTCCCGTACCCAGCTCGCCCGAGGATTTCATCTGTTTGTCAGGATGGACTTGGGCCAAGTCGACGTTTTCGGAGCCGTCTGACTGCGTCGACTGCTTGGAGCCAGTATCTCCAAGGATCTCCTTTATGGAGTAAGAGGGGTGTGACTCTGAATCCAGTCCCCACTGTCACGTCCTCCCGCAGACTCTCCTTTGCCAGCCCTGCTCTGCCCGTCTTAGTGGCAGCCTCCCCTGGAATTTTGAGATGTTTTTAAAAAGAATCTAGGCTGGTGTATGCCTGTAACCCCAGCACTCAGGAGGCTGAGGCAGGAGGATCATTATGAGTTCGAGGCCAGCCTGGGCTACAAAGTGAGCTCAAAGCCAGCCTACACTGCAGAGTGAGACCCTGTCTCAAAAAGAGAGAGAAAAAAATATATAAGGTGAGGAAGTAGCTCAGTGTGAAGGACCTGGGTTCTTCAAAAAATACAGATAAGACAGAGAGAAAATATCAAGGTATGTTGGATCTAATTTTGACCTGCCACCAGATCTACAACAACAAAATCATCCTTCCAAATGACACTGGTGATCTCCAAAAAGTTGCTGGTCACAACTACTTGTCCCTGGTGGTTTTGTTTTTTGAGTCAGGATCTCACTATGTAGCCCAGGCTGCCCTGGAATTTGCATGGATCCTCCTGCCTCTGCCTCCTGGGTGCTGGGGTTACAGGCGTGGGCCACCACACCACCCGGCTGAGTTACTGGGTCTTGGGGCATGCTGAGTTCTCACCCTGGGACCAAGGGGGTAGAGCCTACACCATGCCTGTCACACTCACTCTGTGCTGGGACAGCCCAGTTGGGCAAGCTCCTGCCCACCCTTAGAAAGTTAGCTAGGCACATGCCTCCTCCGGGAAGGGTGCCCTGACTGTCCTCCAGCCTGCTTAAATTTGCCCCTTAAAAAAAAATCGCCCGATGGGTCGGCAGGCTTCGTGTGCTGGGGTGCTCCTGCGGCTGCGTCCCTGCAGGCCCACCTGTCCTGGAGGGCGCCCCGAGGCCCCAGGCGCGGCGCTGGCCCGGGACCCAGGTCGTGACTGAGCGAGAGCAGCCGCGAGCCACTCACCAGGAAGGAGCCCAGCAGGTTGTACTGCGGAGCCGTCACGATGTCCCGGACTCCCGCGGCCTCCTCCTGGGCCTCGCCGGCCTCCGCCTCAGCCTCCTCCTGCTCCTGCTCCTGCTCTTCCTCCTCCTCCTCTCCTTCCTCATCCTGCTCCTCCTCCTCCTCCTCCCCCTCTTCCTCGTTCTCCTCCTCCTCCTCCTCCTGCTTTTCCCCTCCCTCTCCCTGTCCCTCTCCCTCCTGGGACCCTCTCCGTCCCCATGCGTCCTCTGGTGACTCCTGTCCTGTGTCCTCTACTTCTTTGTCGTCTTGGTTATACTCTTGTTCTTCCCCTTCTTTTTCTCCGTGCTCCTCTGGGGGCTCTCCTTCTGGATCCGACATCTCCCGTGCGGGCCCCTTTGGAGAAAGTGAGCCCACGGCGGTCAGCGGGCCGCTCCCATTCTGGCCCCCCGCGCCTGGGGCTGAGCGGCCGCTCCCGCTCCTCTCCCTGGGGGTGAGAAGAACTACACCGTGGGGAAAGCCCGACGGCCTTCCCTCCCTGGGACTAACCTCGGAGCCTCGAACTCATTTAGAAGATGTTCACAGCCCCGCGAGCTGCAAAACACGGCCGCAGGCTCTCGCCCCGGGAAGCGAGCGGCGCCAGCGCGCGGCTTCCAAGCCCGGCCGAACCCGCTCCCGCGCCCACCTGCCGGACCGCGTCTCCTCGGCCCGAGGTCTAACCTCCCTCCCCGCCAGGTGAGTGCGTCTAACCTCCC